ATATTTGACCTCGAATTTGTTGGAGTGTTGGCAGAAGTCGATAATCCTTGCAAAGAGAATGTAACACTCACCTCGATCGTGAATAAAAAAAATTTTAGTAAAAAGAATGATATAATTAATTATATTTAAATGAGGAGGGTTAGCAATCGTTACAACTGCACGATTGTATAGGCAGCAAATGCCACGTGCTTATCATGGGTGTTCGCATCGGCAACCGTGCATGAGATTTAGTCACAACGTTGCTAGTGCTAGGTGGGGGCATCGAACCATGCTTAAGGTACCGCAACGTGCCATGCATCGGTATTATATAGGCAAAAAATGGCGTGTTTACATAGGCGTTGGCTTTGGTAACCCGTGCATGGGGCTCAATCCCCACATTCGTGCATTGCGCACTGTCCCGAAGGCCACAAGGCAGAGGCTTCATCGCACCACACTTAGATTTTCCGCAACTTGCCCACACATTGCTACATGGGGTTGCTTTGGAACTTCAAAACATGGGGCTCAACCAACTTTCCTGCAGCGTAACTCGTTTCCCAGCCTCATTTGCTCTAACACAAGGAGAGTTACGATTGACACTAGCAAACCTATATATAATTTTTTTTATCAAAGTTGGATTCTTCATGTTTTATATATATTTCAGTTATACGATGCTATTTCCTCTCGTTCAACCATGTATCAGAATAATTTTCAGGATTTTTCGTTCAATGAGATCGGGTTCTTTTGAGCATCTAGTTAGTTTAGTAATTTCGTCGAGCTAGACGTAAATTATTGGGAAAAACTTATGAAAATAATTTAAAAATCAAATATATTCATAATTTGTCATGATTAGACAAGTTTATATACATTTCTTGCACGCAATACTTTTACCATTTATCACCGCGTACGTATGAATAGTCAAAATGTACAATCATACGAAATAGAAGCAGGTGGATTTGTTTCTGATCCAGTGGTACGCATCAGCATGGGTTTCAACAGTGGACCTTTCAAAGTGTGGTCCACAAGACAAAGTCTTCGGTTCCCGATGTTCCCCCAAGTCTCTGATATCCTGCGGCCGACGTGTCGTTGTCGTAAAAGGCTGCATTTCTTTCTGCGTCCGGAATCTCAGCTGGGTCCACGTTTTCCACCCCAGCCAATCACATATCGAAACGTGCTGGAATCGCTAATCAACAGCTCCCTCTCTCTCCTACAATCAGATGGTGGTACTTTTTTTTGGTACTTTTTGTTATTTGACAAGATTACCTAATCCGAAGAATTGAATTGCCCACTCTCTTTTTTGGAGAGTGGCGAACACGTGCTTACTCTTGAATTAAATAAGGTTTAAAACTCAAAAATAGGTAAACATTACAGTGTCCACCCAATAACATTCTCGAATTTATCATAATAATAGTAAACTATATAATTAAACATATACTATATACTCTTTTTTTTTTTTTTTTTTTTTCTTTTAAAGCGTGGGAAACTTAGAATCTTTCAAATCTAAAAATAAAATTTTGGACAACAAGTTGATCGATTAATTCAACAGGAAATAAGAGTAATGTTCGGTTTCATTGGTACCATATTTTCAAAGAGATAATTTAAAGTTTAGGGAACCCATTTTCAAAAATGAAAGAGTTATTATGAATTGTATGGTCAAAAAAGCAAATGAAACTAAAAACGTGTCAATAAAATACCCAAAATAGTATAACTCAAATGAAAACCCGTTTCAAATGTTGATGTTTTTCTCAACTTATAGTGTGAAAACCCCAAGTAAAAAAAGGTAAAAATTCGATATCAAGTTGATCGATTAATCCAATAAGAATAAGAGTTCACTTTCCGTTTCATTGGTACGAGAAACTTTTCAGGTTCAATGAACTTATTTTTAGAAATGAAATAAAGAGAGAATTATTAAATAGGGTTTAAAACTCAAAAATAGGAAACATTACAATGTCGACCCAATACATTCTCAATTATTTATAATAATAGTAAAGTAAACTATATAATTAAACATATACACATATACTCATTTTTTTTCTTTTAAAGCATGGGAAACTTAGAATCTTTTAAATCTAAAAAGAAAATTTTAGACAACAAGTTAATCGATTAATTCAACGAGAAATAAGAGTAATGTTCGGTTTCATTGGTACCATATTTCAAAGAGATAATTTTAAGTTTAGGGAACCCATTTTCAAAAATGAAAGAGTTATTATGAATTGTATGGTCAAAAAAGCAAATGAAACTAAAAACGTGTCAATAAAATACCCAAAATAGTTAACTCAAATGAAAACCGTTTCAAATGTTGATGGTTTTCTCAAATATAGTGTGAAACCCCAAGTAAAAAAAGGTAAAAATTCGATATCAAGTTGATCTATTAATCCAATAAGACATAAGAGTTCACTTTCGGTTTAATTGATAGAGAAACTTTTCAGGTTCAATGAACCTATTTTAGAAATGAAATAATGAGAGAATTATTAAATAGGGTTTAAAACTCAAAAATAGGTAAACATTACAATGTCGACCCAAAATATTCTCGAATTTATCATAATAATAGTAAAGTAAACTGTATAATTAAACATATACACATATACTCATTCATTTTTTTTTCTTTTAAAGCGTGGGAAACTAGAATATTTAAATCAAAAAAAAAAATTTTGGATAACAAGTTGATAATAAAGAGTAATGTTTGGTTTCATTGTACCATATTTTCAAAGAGATAATTTTAGGTTTAGGGAACCCATTTTCAAAAATGAAAGAGTTATTATGAATTGTATGGTCAAAAAAGCAAATGAAACTGAAACGTGTAAATAAAATACCCAAAATAGTATAACTCAAATGAAAACCTTTCAAATGTTGATGGTTTTCTCAAAATATAGTGTGAAAACCCCAAGTCAAAAAAAGGTAAAAATTTGATATCAAGTTAATCGATTAATCCAATAAGACATAAAAGTTTTCTTTCGGTTTCATAGGTACGAGAAACTTTTCAGGTTCAATGAACCTATTTTAGAAATGAAATAAACGAGGGAATTATGAATTGTATGGTCAAATGAAAAGGGGTTTCCTATTATACTATATAGTCATAATTAAACGTTTTATAAATGTATAAATAAGAATTTAATGTCTAAATTAGTAGAACTCAAAAGGGTTTAATTGATTAGGGTTTAATTGGAATGCTTCCTCGAGAAAAAAGTTAGGGTTTAATAGTAATGCTATAATTGTCAATCACTAACACTAGTGTTTCTTATTCTTGTATTACATTACACTTTTGTTTGTTGTCTCTCTTTATTTGTATCAACAAATATTCCCTTTTTTATATAACATTAAAAAAATATTATTTAATTATTAACTGTCTTTTTTTATTTTTATTTTAAAGTAAATATCAACGAAAAAAACAATATTTAAGAAGTACTAAGAGAAAGTCTTACGTGCATCCTCTTGCGATATAATAAGTCAATGACAAACAAGTGAAACCCACTGTGGGTAACCCAGATAATTATATGAATGAGAATAATATGAATAGGCACATAGTCTATTACGTAACTGTTAAATATTGGGTGAAGTTCTTCAAAATAGAAGACGAGATCAATTAACCAAGTGATAAAAACTTTGAGCTTCACTTGCGTTGTCGTGACGTACTCTTTATTTAGGGAGTTATATTAGGACAAAATATATATGAGAGAACTATTAGATTAGGAAAAAAAATAATTTTTCAAAAAAATAAAAAATGTTACCAACTAGCATTTAATTATTTTTGTACTATATGTGCCCAAAAATAAAATATGTTTTGATGTGACATTTAGCGAAGATTAAGGAAACGTGTCATCCATGTAGGTTGCTTCCATAACTTGTTTAACTTTAAATTAAAAATTTATTTAATTAATAGTTTGAAACTTTAAGCACCATTAATGGTTCATTTTTACATGGGTTAACTAATCAAAGCAATAATGATTCCTTTATTGCTTTTTTTTAATTTTTTAATTATTTTCAAATTATTAACACTAAGAATTAATGTTAATTTTACTTTCTTTATTTCAAAATTACCAAAAATAATTCTTTATTTATGATGTTACCCCCAAAATCTAATCCAATGCACTTGTAAATTGAAGGGCATTTAGTCTTTTACTACTCATTAATTAACTCAAACGAAATTCAAATTAAAGGCTTAATCCAAAATTTAAAAAAGAGAGGAAATTTTGGTTTTAATTCCAAAAATGAAATTAAATGGTAATAAATTACCCAATTAAGGCCTAAATAATTATCCAAATCTTTTTAGATTTTTTTTCACCCTAATTACATTATTTCCAATTTCGAAATAATTTCCTTATAATAATTTCAACTATTTATTTCATTTAAAATTTAAAATATTTTCACCTCAAACCAAGGTGGATGATTGACTTATACAACACACAATCAAATATTAGATTAAATAATGGTTGAGATTAGGATACTCAAAGTTTTCATTGAGACACATAAAAAATAATTATAAATAAATAAATAAAATAATTAATTAAATATATCGCCATAAACCAAGGTATTTTAGACACCCGTAGGTTATATGAATACAATAACACCCCTAGGTTTCAGAATAGAACACTTATACCCTATAATTGACACAATACTTTTTATAAATTAATTCTTGATATAATGTGACACACCCTTATATAATCTTTTCCCTACAACAAAAAGCAACTAATATTACATTTTTCATAATATATTAAATAATTTAAAAATATTTAATTTTGACAATCCGACAAACATTGGGAATAAAATTCTTGTTTTTCATTTATCATTAATTATTTTATGATGGTTACTTTTCACAAACACCATACAATTATAAAGGTATAACGGCATTATAAGAAAACTACAAAGGTGTAAGTGTTATATTCCGAATATTGGGTCTATTGTATTCTCACTAAACCTCAGGGGTGTCCAGGTCAGAACTCCGCGAGCAATAAACAAAAAGGCTTTGAGGGTTGTGTTTGAAAAAGGAAGAAAAAGCCAAAGACAGAACACACAGTAGAGAGAGAAACAAAAACAAAAACACAAAGAGAGAGAGAGAACAAAAGTGTTTTCATTATTATGTAAATAAAAAAATAAAAAAAAAAACTGCTTTTGTTTTCTGTTTTTGATTTCTCAAAACTCTGTTTTCTTCTGGCCATCACCATCATTGTCCATTTGTACACCCTTATTTTTTACTGAGTTTTCTTTTTTAATCTTGTCTAATTCACTCCCTCTATTCCTTTGGCCATCTGGGGTTTGTCTCTGCCTCTCAAAGTTAAATTCTTTAGTGGTTTTAACTCTAAAAAATTTCAACTTTTTTTCAGTGATCTCTGTTGTCTCAACTGGGTTCTTTAGTTTTTGTAATTCACAATGATCGTTGAGAACAAAAAGAGTTCTTCAACTGGTGAAGATGGAGGTGAAGATAAGTTCCCTATTGGTATGCGTGTTCTTGCTGTTGATGATGACCCTATTTGCCTCAAAGTCATTGAGACTCTCTTGCAAAAATGCCAGTATCAAGGTTTGTTTTTTGTTTTTTGATTACTTATTTTTTTTTGTGTTTTATATAAGATGGGGTGTTTGAATTTTTACAAATACTCCCTGTCTTATTCAATTTTTTTGTTTGTGTTTTTTTCACCTTCAAAATTTCATCTTTTTGTTGATGGGTACTCTGTTTTGAGTTTTAAGCTAAGTAAATTCATCTGAATTATGAAAAAAAATTTGTATTTGTATTTGTATTTTTGTTTCTGTTTCTGTTTATGATTTTTAGTTTATTTTGTTAATTTAACTGGCGGTTGAAGGCCGTTATACACTGTTCCTACTGTGATTTGATTGTGGTTTTGACTTTTTATGGATGTTAATAAGGTACATTTGATTTAATCTAAGCTTCAATTGTTTTTATGTAAATTTTGACTCTTAGAACTGTCAAATTTTTGCTTAATTTTTCATGTCATTTATTGATTTTTTTGCAGTTACTACCACAAATCAGGCAGTGACAGCCCTGAAAATGTTGAGAGAAAATAGAAACAAGTATGATTTGGTTATCAGTGATGTTAATATGCCAGACATGGATGGCTTTAAGCTTCTTGAGCTTGTGGGGCTTGAGATGGACCTACCTGTCATAAGTAAGCTTAAAAGCTCGTTATTACTTTATGACATTTAATGGTCTTTGCCCTTTTTTTTTTTTTTTTCTTTTGTTTTTCTAATTTATAGAATTTTGTTATAGAATGAGATGAAAGAGTGGAAAATAAGTTTCAATAGGGTCGCTAATTATGGTAAAATGATATAATTTAGTTTGGTTAATATAGGGGATGGATTAGATTTTTAATGTTGATTTTGTTTTATGGTTCCAGTGTTGTCAGCACATAGTGATACCAAGCTTGTGATGAAGGGGATTAGTCATGGTGCTGTTGACTATTTGTTGAAACCGGTTCGAATTGAGGAGTTGAAGAACATATGGCAACATGTTGTTCGGAAAAAGAAAATTGATCCCAAGAACCAAAGCAAGTCAGCTAATCAAGAGAATGCTCATGCTGGAATGGGAGAAAATGGACAAGCGGCTGCCTCGACTGGTAATTCTGATCCAAATGGAAAAGCCAACAGGAAACGGAAGGACCAAGATGACGATGATGATGAAGAAGCTGATGAGGAGGGAAATGAGAATGAAGACTCTTCCACCCAAAAGAAGCCTCGGGTTGTTTGGTCTGTAGAGCTGCATAGGAAATTTGTTGCAGCTGTTAATCAATTGGGACTTGACAGTAAGAATTTTTTTACAAAGAAGTAGTACCATGTTTTCTTGATAATAAATTTCTTATTCCTGATTTAATTTTCTGTAACTTTTTTTTTTTTTTTTTGGATCCTTTGCAGAGGCTGTTCCAAAGAAAATTCTTGATCTGATGAACGTTGAAGGGCTAACACGAGAAAATGTGGCGAGCCATCTGCAGGTACTGACCTTTCCTTGTCATTCTTTATTTTTAGAGGGTCTTCTGTATTGTGTCCCTAACACTGTATATATTGACAAATTCTTTCAAGCTATATTTATTTGTCTTAGGACTGATTGAAGTATTATATATGGGTATAAACATGATAAATATTGTGTATAGTTACAAGGTCTTTGATATTGGCAAAATTTTAGGACGATCTTCAAGAAGAAAGAAATACTTTTTTAAAATATATGGATCTATGTTGTTAATTTTGATCTGAATGTTAATTTTGCCACATAGAAGTGCCGCATCAACTTAGGTTTTTACTTAAATGTAATCCTGCAAGCTAAATGTTATGTTTTTTTTTTACAAAGTACCTAAGGCATGCATGTCAAAATTTTGTTTCGATGTAATTTCAGCTTCACTGTGTCTGGGATCTATGTGAAAATTCATAGAAATAGGTAACAATTCCCTCACTGACGCTCACTTTTTTATTTTTTGTTGCAGAAATATAGGCTCTACCTGAAAAGAATTAGTAATGTAGCATCCCAGCAGGCTAACATAGCCGCCGCATTTGGGAGTAAAGACTCTACTTATTTGCGCATGGGTGCTCTGGATGGATATACCGATTTTCGCTTGGGTGGTTCAGGAAGGATTTCAAGTGCTGCAATTTCATCATATCCACCAGGTAGTATGCTCAATAGATTGAACTCCACAGCTGGTTTAACCATACGTGGAATTACTTCTTCGGGCATTATACAACCAGGTCATTCCCAAATCTTGAACAACTCCTTTAATTCTATTGGGAAGATCCAGCAATCTGTGTTGCCTGCAAACCAAAGTGCAAATATGTTTCAAGGAGTTCAGACATCAATAGAGCTCAGCCAGCTGCCACAAAGCAAGTCTGCTACCCTTATTGGAGAATCTAATCACATTAATTATCCATCTGCTTTTCCGGCTCCAACTGGCTTTGCTGATGCTAGAGTGACTCTTGGTTGCTCAAGCAGCTGTGCAACCACTGCCTCAGGAAACTCTTTTATGTTACAAGCGGGCTCACAACCAGCACAGATTAGAGGAGCTTTTGGAAGCCAACCTTCTTTCGGTGTACCTTCAGTGAAACAAGAATCTTTTGACATTGGTGTCCGTGGTTCATCTAATTTTCTGGATCATAATAGATGTGATGAAAGCTGGCCCGGTGGAGCTCAGTTATCAACATTTCCATCAAATTCTTTGCCTATGAGTGAACCCTTTGGCCATGATCAAATTCATTCTAATAATTTGAATGGAAATTTACCTTCAACCATCAGTCAAATCACTAATAACCCTCTGGATCTCTCTTCTTCAATTACTACTTCAGTGCATATGGATGATACTAGAGGAGGTGTGCAATGCCAAACTGGCCTGATTGATAATGTTGTTCAGAATATCAATTACAACCACAACTTAAATAATTCATTCAGTTCTGGGAATTCCTTAGCTTCTGTTAATTGTGGTATGGGCCCCTTTAGTCAGAGTTTGGATCAAAGTAGTCCTTACATTGTTCAGCAAAATGGAGTTGAAAAATCTTCTTTGGACACAAAATTGAGGTCAAACGAGGACTACCTCTTTGAGCAAAGCAAGTCGCAGGATGGTTTCATCCAAAATAACTATGAGTCCTTGGATGATATAATGAGTGCAATAATGAAACGGGTAAGTTAGATATCTTACTTTACCAGTGTCAATCATATTGTGGACTTGTGCTCTCTTTAAGCTTGTAATTTTTTCACTTTTCTTATTCCATCCTCTCTATTACTCATTGGTATACATGGATCGCATTGTTGATTATATTTTCTTTTTCTCTATAACATTAGTACAAATTTAGTCTGTATATATAACTACTAAGGTTGACCTCTTTTGTAATCTATGAATATTGGTGATAGGTTAACTTGGTAGTAGTCTGTTAACTTGACTCCCAAACATAGTTGCTTGGCTCCTGTTTCTCATTAAAACGAGAGTTATAAAATGCTTAAGAGGATTCTACATGTGGAGTGAACGACCCTTGTATGCATGATGATTTAGGCAATGAAGAACTAATCATTGGTTGTAATATAGAACTATGTAAAGATTTTGTAGTTTAGTCTTTTTTTTTTGGCACTTGATTCTTGTTTGTAACTTCTGAACAAGCTTTGATTGGGTGATATATATGATGATGCAGGACCAAAATGAGACATTGATAATGGATGGAGAACTCGGATTTGATGCTTACTCTCTGGGGTCGTGCATGTGAAACTTTGTTAAAGCTGATACTTGAAGAGGAAAAAGGATGACACAACATAAGTTTTAGTTGTTGTTTGAGCAGCATGTAATTATGTAATTCGTTATGCTTAACGTATTTTCTTCTTCTTTTTTAGTTTTCATTCTCTGTTGCCACATTCAATTTCTGGTTGCAAATGATGACAGCTCGGTTCTTTACTTTCGATTTTTTTTCTTGCTTACTCCTGCTGTAGAAATAATGGCTTAAGAAAATCTCAGCTTCTCATAGTTTTCTTTGTGTCTTTCATTTCCAAGTATTTTGAGATAGAATGAATAATGGTGAATATCAGTTTGTTATACAGCACATTCAATTTGTTTATGAAATAAACATGAGTAAATAGTTTAAGATTCTTTCATTTGAGTATTGATGCAATCTTTGATGTATTGACGGACCTTTGAACGTACCAAATACAGTCAGATTCTTTATTTGGTGTTAGAAATTGAGGGGTTAATATGCAGCACATGGAGATTGTGCTTGCTAAACTGTATAGCTTTTATGGCGGCTGAGTTTGATTTACTCCATGTTTAGCTTGCTGCAAAAGTCGAGTAAATTGAATTTGTGAAGTATAATGACATGAAAAGTCAAGCCACATGAAACAAAAAAGTGCAATGTGGGCTACGCTTGTGTCCTCTTTCAGAGGATGAGGCAGCTAACAAATAGAATAATTTTTTTTTCTTTTTTCCTTCATTTTAGTGATTTAGGGTAATACTTATTTACTGGTTCAATAATGTTATCGACTGATGAGACCCCCGAGAAAAGGCTCGTTAACATTATCAACAAAATGCTACAAAAGGGAAGAAAAAATCAATGAACCAAACCAATCATCTATAATCCTTTGTTTAATCAACAAAATGCTACAAAAAGGAAGAAAAAATCAATGAACTTAATTGTTCTATTCTGTTTTTCTTGAGATCAAAAGGCATTCTTTAGAACAATAAAGCTCCATATCAGACACCGGGGTTTTTGCACTGAAAATGTGTACTGACCTACGTGTCACTTTGACTCACACCAGCAATCCAGACGCGTGATTAAACAATAAATATTTTTCTAGTGAATGACCGTCCATATTTTGAGATGGCCGTTTCTTACATGGACTCCCGTCCATCTTGTATGGACGGGGGTCCATTTACTACAGACGGATGTCCCCATTAAAGGATGCCCGTCCATAAGTAAATTGAATAATTTTTTTTTTTTAAAAATTAGGAGACGGTCCCTTCATTTTGGACGGCGTCCGCAAATAAGGGACGCCCGTCCTTAACCAAAATATGAAAATAAAAAAAAAAAAAAAAACTTTGGGATGGTCATCCAAACCCTTACGTTGGTCCATTATTTTGGTTTTTATACAGTGAGTGCGAGAAACCATGCATGCGAGGCTAAATTGTATGATATTCAGACGACGGTGCCTTTGAAGAGCAGCATAAACTGTAATCGTCCTTTGAAGCTTGTACCTAATACTAGCAACACAGCAAATGCTTAAAATTCTTCAGGCGAAAGTAACCATCATTACCATCACTACTCTTGGGAGCACACAGACAAATATACGGCAAAATAGAACTCACCCATTATAACTACGAGTCAGAAGGTACTCATCAAGTTTCTTAAACCAGAGGCTGAGTTAAGATCACCGAACACGACTGCCATCTCCAGCAACTGAGGTTTTTTCTGGAACTACAATCATAGAAATCAAAACTTAAGCATCCATTTCCTTTACTCGAACCATAAATTTTAGAAACTAAAACTTATAGCAACATTAAGCTATCTCCAACAGAAACTATCATTTTTAGTTGCTTTAAACACCTGAAAACTAGAAAAATTAACCCCAAAAAAAAACTTTTTAATCTGTAAAATTAATAAAGTGGTACAGAAGATCATAAGAGCTCCAATCGCTTTGTAACAATAACATACAGCACCTTAACCAGGGATAAATTATTATTCGAACAAATCTTCTGATAACAAATAAACATACAACAACCTTGATTTTTCATGCAAGTAAAACTAAACCATTGATTAACCGTACTCAAAGCGCATTCATGAGACGGACTCCAGTCCTATATCCATGAATATCTTCAACTTCCCAATTAGCTCTCTCACTTCTTAATCATTCATTCTTCTCCCTTCAAAATTTTTTATATAATCCCTCGCTTTACTTCATTTTATCTCGTCAAACCCTGAACTGGAAGCTCTTATTTGTATTAAGGGCAATTGTCAGGCAGCGCAGACATTGAATCTGCACTCCCTTTACTAGAATCTGACCGTTGCCCACGTTTCCCCTTACCTCTCCCTCCAGCTGCCGCCCCCTCCGGCAATTCTGCCGCCGCGACAGCCGCCATAACATGCGCAGACTTGGACAGGCTACAAGTCCTCGCCGGAAATGGTGGAACTGTCTACAAAGTCCATCAAAACGGACTGACAAGATTTTGCTTTGAAAGTTGTCCACGGCGAGAGCGACTCCACCCTCCGCCGCCAAGTCTTCCGCGAAATGGAAATCCTCCGCCGTACCGACTCCCTTTCGTCGTCATGCCACGGCGTGTTCGAAAAACCTTCAGGGATATTGCCATGGTCATGGAGTACATGGACGCAGGCACTCTCAAACATTACTGCAAAAAAGGGGACTTTCTCTGAACAAAACTCGCATGCATGGTTTCTCGCGCTCTCACTGTAAAACCCAAAATAATGGGCTAAGGGACGGCCGTATAAAATTGATCGACCGCCGTCCCCAAAAGTTTTTATTTTTTATTTTAAGGGTGGGTGTCCTTTATTTACGGACGCTTATCCAAAATAAAGGGACGGCTGTCTATAACGAATAAACGATCATCTCTAATTTTTATAAAAAAAATTATTTCATTTTACTTATGGACGGATATCCTTTAAATAGGGACGTCCGTCCATATAATATGGACGAGAGTCCATGTAAGTGAACGGTCGTTTATATTTGATGGACGGCTGTTCACTAGAAAAATATTTATTGTTTAATCATGCGTCTGGAATATTAGTACAAATCAAGACACGTAGGCCTATACATATTTTTGATGTAAAAACCCCGGTGACTATAGCTTTATTGTTCTTTAGAAACCATTCTATATTATTTAACATACTTTGCTTGAAACTTTACAGAAGAAGTTACAACCTTCAAACTTTATTTTGTGGTCCTTTACCAGAATATAAATGACAATAAAGATAAGAGAGAGAGAGAGAGAGAGAGAGAGAGAGAGAGAGAGAGAGAAAGAGAGAGAGAGAAGGAACTTGGAATAAAGTAATAGGGTAAAACCAGACACAAGGCTTCATACATAACAAAGAATGTTTTGATTACCTTAAATGTTGTATTTTGATATATTCTTCTATTTCTTGTCAGCAATCAACTAGAGCAATTTTGAACTCCATGGAACCAAAGAATGTTACATAGTAAAAAAGGTAAGCTAAAGTTTTAAGAAATGAACTTATTCTAGCTCAACAAGCTGAGCTCTTCTTTCTGCAGCTTTCTTCCTTACAAATATTCCCCATCTTAAGGCGGCTTTAAGCTTAAGCCATCCGACAACAGCCTTCCCTGAACCCCTGCTGGGTTCATTCCTGTAAGTCCGATCCACTTGAGGCTCATACTGAATGCCATAAGAATAACAAGCCTCGTCAGGATGATCATAACCAGGTGTCATTCCAACGCCCATACTTAGTGTTTTTAGCAGTCTCTGCATGTCATCATTCTCTAACATCTCAGAACTTCTAAGTCGGATTTCCTCAGCAATAAAGTCTTCCAAGCCCTGTCCATTTCTTGGCCGCGACCAATCTCCTGGAAAATAAGGACCCCCGACTGCAGGATTTGCAATTGACATATAATCAATGCTGCTAGGTAATGCAGCTTGTGGATTATTTATTGTCATCAATGCAGTCTGATCAGACCTCACGAATGGAAATTCAATCAACTGAGGTGCTTGAGAGTGGTTATTTCCAGTTTGGCAGTGTGGACTTGGCTCAGAGGAGATGTACTGCTGCCTGTTCTGAATTGTTGAAATACTGTGATCTGTTTCATAGTTGTTCACTATTGGTGCAGCTGGCGTTTTTATAACCTTCTTTGTACTAGTCAGTGAGTTCAGGACTTTGCCATCATATTCTACAACTTGAAGCCAATTATCGTATGCTCTTTTCACCAAAGAATCAACAGAAATCTGTAGGCAAATACATGCATGAGTCAAGTAATTCGATCCCTCGTATAGAAGTTCAAGTGATGCTACGAGAAGAACATTATAACACCAAAAGAGTGGAAAACTACCTCCTTCGATATTTCCCCATTTAGATCATCTCTAATGGCCTAATGAGTAATGACAGCACCATAAATTTAAAAACTATTCTGATACATGTGACATACTACAAAATAATCAGGCCATTAAAAGTGTTTAGTAATTTAGTCACTTTATTATAATCCTGTTTCATGGGTGTAGCCAACTATCTGATGTCTAACTTATCTTCAAAGGATGCTGGTTGAACATACAGGAAACTGTTTGCATATGCACATGTGCGGGCTGATGACCAGATTTAGAAAACTAGATGAANGTGATGCTACGAGAAGAACATTAAAACACCAAAAGAGTGGAAAACTACCTCCTTCAATATTTCCCCATTTAGATCATCTCTAATGGCCTAATGAGTAACGACAGCACCATAAATTTAAAAACTGTTCTGGTACATGTGACATACTACAAAATAATCAGGCCATTAAAAGTGTTTAGTAATTTAGTCACTTTATTATAATCCTGTTTCATGGGTGTAGCCAACTATCTGATGTCTAACTTATCTTCAAAGGATGCTGGTTGAACATACAGGAAACTGTTTGCATATGCACATGTGCGGGCTGATGACCAGATTTAGAAAACTAGATGAATTAATTTAATCTTGTTAAATTGTATGATGACTGAAGAACATCTAACCTTTTGAGTGTGGTTAAGAGATTCCAAGGAGACAAACTGCCCATCAGCGATGAGGCCTCTAAGCTCATAAATATGGTTGAAAACAACACCAGTATTATGAGTTTCATCTGTGTAGTATACATAAAGCTTCCCACCCAACACACACGTTTTAGCATGCTCCACTGTGTTCTCCCACATTCTATTGGACATTCCACTCCCAAGGATCTGTGCAGAGAAAATTGAAGTTTTAAGAAAACGAAGAACAACAAATTCTTGTAAAACTTTAATGGAAGGAGAAAAAAAGGATTCAATAAACGTATTTAAGAGAATAAGAGAAAAAAATAAAGATCCAAAGAATGAAGCTCTTACATTTCTCAATTTCTGTGGATCTCTAACAAAAATTCGGAGAAAATCTTCGACAGTAAGAATGTCAGCCTTGACCAACTTCTTGTGCAGTGCTCCATCTTTTGCTATTCTATCCAATCTCCAAACTTCATCATGTAAGGCTGGTGGGTAATGTTTCTTGTATACTGCAATTTGCAAAAATAATTTTGACATCAACAAATTGATAAAGACAAGCTTAGCAGGATACTGATATATTCCCAGAGACTAGAGTAGCATGGTCATTCACTGAAAAGAACAGAACTCTGATTCAGCATGCCCGGAAGTTTGAGTTCTAGAAGCCACTAAACTGGGCTATTGTATCATCAATTGCTTAAATCATAATAGAAGTGGTTTTACATTGAGTGAGATAGTGGGCATTGAGTTCTTTAAGAAGACAAGAATCTGAGTGCTTAGTTAATCATGAGTTCTACAGATAGCTGATCTAAATAGTGAGCTAAGGGATGGCATATGGTTACTGTTCTATCCAGATATTGGTTCTGCATGTTGCATCAATTCCTTCGCAGCAACATAACTGTATAAATGTACCCCTAAGTTTGCTCTCTGCCCCTTTAATTGTGTCAACTGTAGTCCCGTATCCTTATTTGGCCATCCAATACAATATGTTTACAAGAATTGCCTATCAATCAAAAGAAAAGACGGGTTAGAAAACTCACATTCTCCCCTGTGATCTTTGACAGCGAAAGCCTCTGTTTTAGCCTCACGAATACGAATCTCCTCACAATATCCAGGGGCAACTTTGACACCAAGCCTGAATTTTCTGCTCCTTATCCAGCTAGAGTTGTCGGTGAAAGTAAGATCTCCTACAGTTCCTATCCCTTCCTTGAGGGTCACCTGCAAATCCCCTGTCAGAAGTGGCCTTTTTCCCTCACGCTCCTTTACTTCATAGCCTTCAAACTGCTCTTTAGTCCAATCATCATCATCTTCCTCATTGAAGTCACCTTCAAGCACCACAATGTTCAACTTCGCAACTGATTCTGGTCCGCTTTGGATAACACTTCCTGTGTTCAGGTCTATCAAGACAACATGGATAGCTGCACCTTGGTCTCCCTCAACCTTTCCACCTGTGAAAAGGTGAGGTGGCATCCTTGTTTTGAATTGAAGTTGCAAATTTTTTCCTCCAGGGCCTTGTATTCTTGGTGGAGGAGACCTGTCACAGATCAAGATATGATCAATGAGTTCAATGAATTGATAAATGTCCTGCATCAAGTTCCAACCCCTGGCTTTAAATAATTACAACATTCTTATTGAAATGTTTCCACATTCAACGCCTGGCTTTCCCGTGCTAGCTACCTTGCAGATAAACATTTTATACACAGCAATAGTTTGAGCATAATGTTACTATATGACGTTCAACATTAGCAAATTTGTCCAGTTTCGTCCCTTCACAGGAAGGAAGCAACAATATAAATAATAAATATGATATTCCGTTTAGATTTGTTATCAGTGTAATGAAGATACATGATTGAATTATCTAATGTCAGTGTCTGAATATTAAGGTAGAAACCATGAACACACCTTGCTGGAAGTGCAGCATGACCAAACTTTGTCAAAGCGCGCTCCACTTCTTCGCTGACCTATTATTCATGAAATTGCAAAATTAATAAGAGGATTTAACTGCATACTAAACATATTTTGCACACGATACCTGGCATTCAAAGATTAGAAAGAAAATATAAAACAGATGTATATATAATGCAAGCCGAACTGATTTAAAAGCATGCTAGTGCCAGAGAGCCTTGGCCAATGGTGTTGGACTTAAATATTATATTTTTGTCTCCAGCTCTATATGAGATCCCTTAGACTCTAAATGACAACAAGTCAAGCAAACCAAAATGCAGTCTACCGTGAAACTTTACCCCATGGACAGCACTACTATTGGCAAAGTCAACAGTGAAATGTCACTAATGAGAAAACCTTATACAGGACATTCATTCAAACAATTAATTTAAGCTAGAAAGAAAGGATCAATCACCAATATGTCGCAAACTATCTGTTATGCAGAAACACAGATGATAAATAAGTTTGCCGACTCACAATTCTGCGCAGAAGAGGCTCCAAAGATGAGCAAAGTCTTTGCAAGCTATCCACCTTCAAAGCTTCCACGATTACACTGCAGATGCAAAATATGAAGTTTCAAGTAGTCAAAACGTGAAAGAGAGCATCAATTTCGGTAAATTAGATCCACTTATTGGCACAATTGTTTTTCTATCACAGCAACAGAATTGCATCACTTCTCACCATCTTCTAGTTCAAGAAACACTCTCCAAGATACAGTTTAAGGAAACAAAAGTTTTATTCATAATGATATGATATATATAACACAGGACAGCTGCAAGGGGCTTCATTAAATGAGATCCACCAAAATGGATCAGCATTAAGTGAACATGCATAAACCATGAAATTGACACATTCTCCTTTACCAAAACTCTTCTTTGGATCCCAATTCTTAAACCAAATCTCTTAATTTCCTTATACCTATCATAGTGACTGACACTTTCAAGAAAACATAAACCATGAACAACAATTTCAAATACTGATTGAATCAAAACAAGAACAACCCCAACAATTAAAAACCACTAAATTCAACAGAACAAACCTTGCCAAAGCAGGCAACTTTGATTTCTTTGACCCAGGCACATCCTCTTCTCCCTCATCCTCATACACTCTCTTCTTGTTCCCTGAACTTTCCATTCATAAAAAACACCAAACTTTAACTCCCACCCCTAGATTCTCAGCACAATTTCCAAGTTTAGAAACCCAAAAGCACCACAAAATCAAGTCTTTCACAACAACCTTCAAACTTTTCAAGACCCTTATCCTGTTTCGTCAAATCTAACAGAAAAAAACTGTTTCCAAGACATTTAGGCAACTGGGTTCTTAAGGGCTACAAGTAAAGATACTTAAAAAAACCACCATTAAAAAATGTGATGTTGATCTGAAGATATTAATTGTTTTTTGTCTGAGCAAATGGGATTCTGATTATTATATAACAAAAAAATAAATGAAAGATTCGTGAGATATATAGATTATAGATTAAAAGTAAGAGCTGAGACAGCTGTGTATGAGAGTGAGTGCATGCACTTTGAAAGTTGAAACCGCGTTATGCGGTTTCATGTCTCATTTGGTATGCCCTCAACTGGGTCTGGCTGGTCATCAAATTTGACTATTTCCTTTTTTTTTTTTTTTTAACTTTACTTTCTTTGAGAAAGTCAATCACTTGGGGCCAACTAAAAGGACCCTACCAGGTTATCCACTTTATCACGTATATATTCCTCCGTATGACGTTTTAGTGCTGATTGGATTGTGAGAAAAATGCGGAGGAAAATTGCCACTTTTGCTCATTAATCTAGTGAATAATGGAGAGGAAAATGTTTTACTCAAAAATATGTTTTTACCAGATCCATATTACTGTATTTATTGAATAAGGATTGGTTTTCAAACTCTTTTATAATTTTCTAACAAATATGACGTGACAACTCGTAATTGATCAGTTTGTATCTGATTAGGTGAAACCATTATTGGATAGTGAAACTATTACAAACTGACCAATTATAAATTGATATATCGTGTTTGTAAAAAAGTTAATAAAAATGGTTCGTAAATATAGTATTACTGTTATTTATTTATTTATTATTATTTATGAAGATATTTGTTTTACCTACCTATCTTGATTTAAAAAATATATTAAGTATTTGATTCTGAAATTAAGAAAAGCCAGGGGGAGATTTGTCTTGTTATGGAGAAAAAAAATGCATAATTGGGTCGGTGAGAGAGGGAGGTCTTGCAAATCATGATAATGATACTCTCTTTAATATTGTTAAGACAAATTATAGTGCTATAATATAATAGTCAATAATAAAGCTAATTTTGCAATAAATAACTATTTCACCCAATTGATCGGCAGGCCACTACGATTTTTCACGTGCAAACACATGTTTTCATAGAGATTTGTAAGATCTGCAAGTTTGAAGGGACAACTGGTGGTTAATCTACAGTTAATATCTGATGCAGTTTAGATCTGATAAAAATCCCTCTTTGTTATACATCTGACACTTTATGATTTACATGAGAGTTAACGTTATCTCAGATACTGTAATTTTGTCCTATGCGAAACTTGTATTTCGAACAGTACCTTTAGTTTCCATGCTTGGAAGATTGCAAGGGTAGACTTAGGGGTGTAGTCGAGTCGAGCATCTAGTAAATAACTAAATCGAACTCGACTCGATTGCTACAATATCGAGTTTAAGCCTGAGAAATTAAGTTCACACTCAAACTTGGTACTTAAATTGGAAGTCGAGATTTAATCGAGTCCGAGCTCATTTAACAGGGGTGGATTTGCAAATTTTATAACTTCTAAATTACTATGACCCCTATTACTTTAAAAACTATCAACTTAACCATCGAGCTTGAAAATACTCACGAACATCTTGAGTTGAGTTCTACTATGATCGAACTCGACTCGATTAACTACTTGAACTCGACTCAATTAACTACTCGAACTCGACTAATGTTGAGTCAAGTTTGTGCCAACATTGAGTTGAGTTCGAGTAGCTAGACCTGATTTTCACCCCTAGGCGGGCTTGTGTATGATTTACTGGCAATGGACTGATTCAGAGAAGAGACTTACTGCTGATTAAACAGCTTCAACTTCTGGCAAATTGTTTGGCACAGGGCAAAAGGCTTGTGAAAGTTATGCAACATCAAAATCATTTAAGAAATAATGTACCAAAGAAAGTATATAGAGATCATATTATAATAAAAATATGGTGGTGGGAGTAATCCACAACATGTCAATTACAAAGGAAAATTGATGGGTACTATCTTATCCCAGTCCCAGAACAACAATACTACAACTGCAAGAGAATACACGTGTGAGATTGAAACTCTGGCTTCACAAGCCAACTCAAGCAATTTGCTTGTTGCTTCCATAAAATAGTAAGGATGGAAAAATCCACTAATTCAACAATAGAACTCTTTTTTTAAATTATATTGTACAAGGAATTATTCACCTTCCCAACCCATTTGGCGGGCTCGTTGTTCCCACAAGTTAGTCACTTTCTTCTCCTGGATCAGCAAAGCCTCAGACCACTCTCTAGCTTCCTCACAGGTTTCCGTCGCGGCATTGCATTTTTCTGCCTCTCTTTGGTACAGAGAAGCCACTCTTTTAGCTTCACCAAACGTGATGTTCATATGCCGCATGTGCTCTTCAGCAACAGACTCTTGCAGCTTCAACTCCTCCGTCAGAAGATCCACAAACTGCTTTTCCATCTCCTTCTTGACCTCAGGGTCGCTACTTCCACAATCTGCGCCATTGACACACGATTAATGCTACACACAGGATTCTGACTTCAAATAATGGGATAAAAGTAAGTCAGGAAGCTCTGCAATTTGGGAGAGAAGTGAGACTTGACAAAAGAATATCCTTGAAAGATCTTGGAGGCAAGCAATACCGTCCAAACGTTCCCAGATTAGTCATTTAATTAGTTTCTAAGATTGTTTTAGTAATACTAACATTATGCAAAATATAATAGGAGGCCTAAGATGAGTTAGAATAGGCCTGAAGGGAGGCATTTGTGACACTTTAAGGGGATTGGTAAGGAGAACTCGGTGAAGGAGAAGCCGTAGAGTAAAAGCCACAGCTGCGAGGGCCACTTAGTGAAGCGTTGAAAGCTACATGAGCTCCCTTGACTCATCGAATAGCTCTTACAAACTAAAGGCCTAACTAGCATAAATTTGGAAGTCATTTTTAGTTTAATACAGACAGCTACTAGCCAATGCAAGCATATATCATAGTCTTACGTCAGCAAACTAGTAAAGTAGGAGAAGAAAAGGTAGATAATTGACAAGTTAAAATGACATTTCAATGTACAAAGAGCAGTCTATTAGCTGGAAAGGTGATGTTGTACAGTAGGCAAGTTCCAACTACCAAATTAGACTTCTTTTTAGAAAAAGTAAAGTGGAAAATGAATGGCAACTAAATGAGCTTTGACCCTTTGGAAAAACCTTCATCGTCATTGGGAATTTAGAGATGAATAAAACTAATATAAAGGGATAATTCATGTTGTTATTAACCAAGTTGGGGAGGTAGAATGAACTCTTACCTGTGACTGAGAGATTGGCCAACCCTGCAAAATTATAACACAAGCCAAAAGGTGACATCAGAACCTAAAAGATATATGGACTTTGAAAACATGGTCTATATAACAAACAGAAAGTTTGACTACTTGAAGATATCACAGATCAAAGGAAGCTCCTAGTAAGGAATTTCAAAAGTTAACAACATATATAGTAGTATAGAAAGCATGTAAATAATTCATACAAATCAAAGCATGAGGACAGCAGGAAACGAGAGGAAACAACCGTCATCAAAGATGAACTTGTTAAACTACATCTGAAAAAAGTAATCTCCCTTTTTGTTTCCTCTTTCTTTCCAAAACCATGACATTAAGTCCATGTAATAACGATAGAAAAACTAACCACTATATCAATCATTGAATCCACAGCCCAAACACATGAGTACCCACATCTAGGGACAAAAAACTAGGATTTGGATGGCAAAAACTTTTTGGCCTGCGCTTGCACCTTCTATCATCACATAGATTTGGCTTATGAATAGGTCTATTGCCTAATCAAGTAACCACAAAATCCAGAATAAGAAACAAATAAATTGTTTTCCCTTGATTATTTTATGGTTTAGAGAATCAACATCAAAAGACCTCCACCTGACATTTACAACCATGAAGAAGCAATTTACCCAGTTTCAACAGAACTTCCTATTAGATGTATAGTCATAAGAGAAATATAAATACCATTATAGTACCACAAGCGTTATATGGTGTTGTAGAAAAATGTTTATCATGGATTTAAATTATAATTAGACTCCTAAATCCAACACATTGATATCGTACAGTGTTATAGTCATTTTCAAATTGTTTTTGGATTTATAGAGGATATTTTCTGAACAAAATTTTGCAGACCAGATACTGGAACTTTCCTAGTTCTCTAAAATTTCATAATTTTTCCCTAAACCCTAAAACCTCATCAGTCATGAAATGAGCACCCCCATAGTCTCAATCAAACACATAAGTACAAAGAGATCCCAAATTCATAATTAGCAATATCAACTGATCCAAGTCCCAAAGTGATGACAGGGGCACTCTAATTGTATTTGTACCATAGCCAGAATATGTGAAAGAAATAAATGAAAATAAATCTAACTTGAAACATGTAATCCCTATTCTACGAAATATTTCCCAGTGTGTACGAAGCTCAAAATTAAATATTAGAGACAAAAGTATATCAAACTTTGAAGTTGACCAAATAAGCCTCCTTAATTCCACAATAATCAACACCTAAACAGGAAAAGGGTCAAATTCTGACAAAATCCCAGAAGCAACAAACATGTGGGAGTGGGATACAAAATTCTAAAGATGTTGCTTAAATTTCACTCTAATACACATTTTGCAAAATAAAATCAACAACTAACAGCAGCATGGATACAAACAAATCACCAAAGAAAAAACTTTCCGAAAGAAGTACAATCTAATTTCAATTTCATCACATCTAAAAAACCAAATAATCAAAATTTGACATCAACCCAGAAGCACAAAACATAAAGTGAGCTATAACGACATATCAAAGCCTCAAATTGCTGAAATGGGCATCCATCAATTTCAATCTAATACACAAAACACACAACAATACCAAATCTAACAGTGCACAGAACACCAAAACGTAGGCTTGCACAAACAAGTACACACCAATTCACTTTAAAAAAAAAAAAAAAAAAAAAAAAAAGAATCAAAATTTGACAACAATCCAGAAACAGAAAACAGAAATTGAGCTACAACAACAGATCAAATCTCGATATGTTGAAATGAGCATCCCCCAATTTCAATCTGATACACATATCACACGACAAAACCAAAACTTGCACAAACAAAATGCACTCTAATTCACTTTCATCAACAACTAAACCAAAAAATAAAAAAATAAAATGGCAACTATCCAGAAGTACAAAACTTTAAGCTAGCTAAAGGAGAGATCAGATGTCAAATTGATCAAATGGGTAGCTCTAAATTATAATCTAACAACAACGAAGATGCCGACGAGGAAAAGGAAAAAAAAAATTCAAAATCAGAACTTTCACAAACAAGGACACGCTAATTTACTCTAATCAACACCGACGACAACCCAGAAGCACAAAACAAAATGAGCTATAAGGACAGATCAAAAGCTCGAATTACTGAAACGGTTACCACTCAATTTCAATCTAATAAACATATCGCACGACAGAACAAAAACTTGCACAAACAGATACACAGCAATTCACTTAATCAACACCTAAAAGAACAAAAATCAAAATTTGACAAAAATGCAAGAGCACAGATAAAAAAACCTCAAATTGCTGAAATGGGCACGTCTCATTTTCAATCTAATACACATATTGCATAACAAAATCAAAATCTAACAACAACCCAGATGCAAAAAATCATCAAAATCAAAACTTCCGCAAACAAAAACACAAAGATAGATACCGGGAGCAATCTTGAGAAGCGAAAGAGGAGGAGGGCAATCACAGACACAAGGAGGGCAAGAGGATTTAGAGTGAGCAACCAAAACACCCTTCTTGAATCTCCAATAAAGGGCAGGTCCACACACTGCTAAAGCTGAAACTATTGCAAATATCACCAGACAACATCTCAAACACGCCCCTGGTCTCCTTGACATCTTCTTCTTGTTCTCTCTCTCTTCCTCCACAGACACACCCACTCTCTCTCTCTCTCTGTGAGTAAAGAGATAATGAAGTAGAGATCTAACTGAGTGATTTGATAGTTACTATGAACGAACGAATGAAAATGTACTGCTTCTGCTTCTGCTTCTGATAATTTGTTAATGTTTGACAAAAGTCAGTTCCTGTAATAAACTTTTTCGATCAATGCGTGTGGGTCCAATTTTATTCATTAATCTTTTTTATTGTGCCGGTGGGTTTATCATTTATCAATTCAGTTAATTATTTTTTCCAATGAAGATTTTTATTATTCAATCCAAAGCCCTCTCTATATTTTGAAAATAAATTGCTGTTATTTTAATACAAAAATTCATTTAATTGTTTTTTCCTAATTAAAAAATATTTATTTAATGTCTATGAAGAGAAAAGCTTCTTAGATTTTGATCAAGTATCTTATATTAATTTAGAAAGTTTAACCTGTTACCCCATATACTTTATTTGAGAAAAATGTAGTTTTTAACTAAAATTGTGTATGCATTTAAAGAAGGGGCTATTACTTAATGCAGTTTTGTTATTTGCTCAAAGACTTGCAATTGCAAGCAATTAGAAAGTTATAATAGGATGGTTGTTGCATTAGCGATATCATAAACCAATATGTAAATGATAGATTTTTAATTTGAGGGGCGTTAGCGTCAATTGTAAGTGCGACTTATAGGCCTTGTGTCACGAGCCTAGAGTTTCGATGCAGTGGAACGATCCGTGCTGCACCTCAACATTACACTTGAGACGGGCTAAGCCTACATGTACGTCATTCATCGGCTCAAGGTCTATTGGGTTCGTCTTGCCATGGACTCATCAGGGCTCTTAACTAGTTTGTGTAAGGATGACCTAATCCCTTCTTCATCGTCGACTATGAAGAATAGCTCTTATACTTAGAGATGGCAATGGACCTGATATTTTTGGGTACCGACCTGGCCCGTGTCAAAAAGGTCGTGCTTTATCCGATGTTCGCGGGCATGGGTGTGGGCCTAATTTTAAGGCCCGACCTCGGGTACGGGCAGGGCTTCAAGCCCGACCTCGGGTACGGGCAGGGCTTCAAGCCCGGCTCGGCCCAGCCCAACAATTTTAGTATTAATTATACTAAATTACCCTTATACTATATATTTAATTACAAGATTATCTTACATATATATACTTATATTTCCCAAACCTTACATGGATGGATAGATGCACTTTGTAAAAAGTTATTTATATATTTGGTAAGTATTAAAAAATAAATTAATATTTAAAAATTGTTTTTAGAATTAAAAATATAAAAAAATAAAATTTATTAATATTTAAAAATTCACATTATAAAAATGGACAGGCTTGGGTAGGGCCTGAGGTTACAAAAAGCTCGTCGGGCCGGGCTTGGGCCTAGGCCAAGGGATACCCAGTCTCGGCCCAGCCCATTGCCATCACTACTTACACTCCCGTTTCACTGAGCATCTCTCTCCTAAAGAGTTTGATGAAGTATTGTGAATGTGTTAGGAGGAAACACACTAATGTCTTAGGTGTCAAACCCCATGTGAATGCTTTGCGAAACCTCTCAATCTTTTGTATGCTCTCCACACTTATTGCTCTTGTCACGATGCTAAAAAAAGTCCAAAAACAGAACCGAATCGAAAATTCGGTTTTTTTATAAATCGGTTCGGTTTTGGTTTTCAAAATTTCATAAACCGATTATTCGGTTCGGTTTTCGGTTTATAGATTTTTTCAAACCGGTTAATCGAGACCAGATTTTAAAACCGGTTTAAAAAAAAAGTTATATTTTTTCCCCTGTTTAATATTGTCAAGAACATGGGAGAGTGTGCATTTACAAGTCAAACCAAACCCAACCCATAGGCGTCTCTCTCTCTCATTTCTACATCTCATGTGTAGATGTGTACCTCGTGGTTCGTGCTTCTTCATTCTCTTATCCAATTTACCATTTAAGTTGTCATCTCCTCTTTCTCTCAAGTATTCAAATTCCATTCTTATACTTTCTTTTTCTCGCGACTGAAACTTGAGTTCTTTGGCATGGAGAGGAAAGAAACGGCTTCCTCTTAGTCTTAGTCTTAGTTTTAATCTCTATTTCTGATTAATTTGTTTTCTTGTGTTATTGTGTTTAGAACTTACTGTTATGAGTTTTTGCAGACCTTCAGGGCGCCATTCCAAGATTAATCATAAGATAATCAAATCTGTTGTTGTCTCCGAAGGGAATGCTTTGGATTGAAAGAAGATTAAATTTTTTATATTTAAAATTCGGTTCAAGTCGGTTAACCGATTTTTTGAACCGGTTATTTTGTCCAGTTTAAAATCAGTTTAAATATTGATTCGGTTCGGTTTTGATTCAGATTTTTGCTTGAACCGATTTTTCAATTTGATTCGAAAAATGCCCCAACCGGTTCGGTTAACTGGTTTTTCACAGCCCTAGATGCTACAAAATAAGATTTTGACAGTTAGCACATGTTTCAGTTTAATTTAATTAGTTTTCGTGAAACGGGACATGTGTCATTAGGATAGATAAAAATCATCACACTCTCAAGTCTCAACTGATGCTAACATTTGTCTTTTTAGTTTAACATCCACCAAGTCTATTAAAAGAAAATCTTTTTTACAATTACTGCACATAACAAACAATCAATAAAACGCATTGATTGGTTGAATATGCATTCATTATATATAATTTTTATGATTGTGACATAGTTGACAAGAGACTTCGCAAGATAAACAAGTTTCAATAGATTGATTTACTTCTTCTGCAAGTTCTTACAAATCTGAGCTCTTGCAACATTGACTGACTATCCTTGTCTTACATCTGCATAGTACTCATGTATCCACTTCTGAATGATATCAACTTCTTGTCTTCTAAGCTCTACAAGCCAATCTGGATCATCTTTTGTTTCGAATCGAAAATCGACATGGTGAGCTCCTAATCAGGAAGACACAACGAGAATTTTGAGTGCCAGGCCGCATAATGTTGATTAATGAAGTATTGAATTAATGATACACATACCTTTCTTAGTGACAAGAGCTATGATACTAGAAGATATATTCTTCAGCACACTGAGAAATTCATACACATCAATTAGATAATTATAATATGAACACAAATGAAATGATCAAAATAACCATTGAAAAGAGATCAACTCACCCTCCTCTACTCCATGGATCTTGCATCCCATTGGAAAATATTATGTTGCTTCCGAATCTCTTCAATGCGAGCTCGATCCTCTGTGCAGGCAACAGAGTGTGTGAGAAACCATACGAAAAAACTATGTCAATGACAATAAAGAATATCCGAAAAGGTATATAGGGAATCAATCTGATAGTGTTTTTGTAATCAATCCCACATTGAAGCGAAAGCGTATTGGGAAGGTTCTAGGCTTATAAATAGGGGAGCCCCTCCACCTAACAGGTTAGTCTCTTGGGTGTGAAACTCTTAGTCCGTGACAAGTGGTATCAGAGCAGACCTAATCCCTTTTTCGATGTCTTGCCAAGCATCCACGCAAGGGCATCTATGTGTGGTTGTGGGTCCACATAAGAGTGAGGTGGATGGATAGGCAAGGGAGCCCCACCTGTAACGAGGGCATTACAAGATTGGGTGTGGGAGAATGTAATCAATCCCACATTGAAGCAAAAACATATTAGAGAGATCCTAGTTTATAAATGGGAGAAGCCCCTCTACCTAATAGGTTAGCCTTTAGGTGTAAAACTCCCAGATCGTGACAGTTTTAAGAACAAAAAGTAAAAAAAAAAAAAAAAAAATATCTCACATTGCCAACAAATTCAGTGGTGATCCAATGCGGTCGAGGCATAACTCCATATTTTTTCTTGCATTCTACTTCAACATCTTTGTAATCGAAGCCTGACGGAGGAAACATACTCTTATTGGAGCAAGTCATCGGCATTATCATCTCTGTACATGCCTGCAAAATCGTCACAAAAATGGCTTGTTTGCACAGCAATCCCCTTAATGTTTTTTACATTCTAATAAAATTGCAGAACAGTTTTACCTGCCAGTTCCAACCACTAAGGACATGAACATCAGCTCCATGTTCTATCTCAAAACATTTTTCTGTCTGTGAATAGTTGTAATATAAGCTTGCCCCTGCAATCGCGCGGCGAAGCTTGGTAGTCTCCGGTGGCATTCCATCAATGATTTTGCACATCTACATTCAAAACAAGGATTAAAGTAAAGTTTGATATCTCTAATTTTATCTTAGATTTTGTAATTTTTTTACAGGCATTTGTAAAAGTCTTGCCTGCTGCACAGGATAAGCAGGCAAAGGCTTCATGAAATTGGCTTCGGTAGGATAATTCACCATTGCTGTGTAAACAAAAGCCTCCCACAACCAATCGAGGGCAGAATCTGCTGAATGCAGGTCCCTGAACTTGAAAGAATAAAATCAGATAAATCTTTCAGAATCAAAATGAAATTCAAGACACATTTTCCTAGCACTGTCAAAATTCCAGAATAAAAACATTAACCATCAGTCATAGATGTAGGCATTGGTAAATTTAAGTACATTCCTACGCTGGCACTTGCGTCAATGAAATTGATCTTGCTTTTGACATTTTGAAACAAGGCATGATCAAAAGAGAAAATTGACTCTTCTTGACATACATATTTTGGTCCCAAACCAACAATAATTCAATCACATTAATGCTTTTTTTTTTTTTTCTTTTCTGGGTACTGGGCCTCTCTTCTCAATTATTCTTGTCCTTTCAATGTCACAACCGAGAACAGGACCCCAGAGACCCACAAAAAAGGGTTTTACCGTGGGGGCGTGCCGAGTGCCTGTGCGCTTACACACGCATATGTACTTTTCATCACCAGAGAATTAATGGAAAAATTCTCAGTTCATTTACACCAAAATGGTCTTGTAATTATTCTCAAATTTTTGCCTCGAATGGTTAGTTGCATAAAGGTGAAGACTTACTTGCAAGTTCTGAAAATTTTACTTAGTTCAGCCAGGCCTTCTTTCTGAACTGACAGTGCATCCAGTTCTGCCCAGCTTCCCTTTATTACTTCATAGCAATTCATGCTTGCATCCTACTCACATTAATCATAAAAAATATTATAGCAAAATTACAAAGAAGTTTGAAAGAATATATGTAATCATTCTCTGGTGTAGACGTGGGGTTGTTTTTAACTGGCAGACCAAAAAAAATTATTGAATCTTTGGTCTGGATGTTAAAAATTTTAGAACGTTCGCATCTGAGAATTTTTGTATATATATTAATTCAGCGAGAGAGATAGAGACCTTGAAATCCTGGGAAACACCATCATGAAAGCTTGACCAAGGAGTAATGGTATCAAACTGCAAAATTGGGGCTGAAGAGGCCAGAGCACCAATTGCTATGTGGGGATATTTCAGTCTAAACCAGCTGGCCAGCACTGAAATAGATACAATAATTTTATTTATGACATGAAAACACACACAAACATACTCATTAGTAGCAACTGCAACAACTACCAGCCATTAAAGGGGCATTAAAAAGCTTCTCCATTAATGATTCTACAACATTCCTCAGCTTTCGTTTGTGGAAAAAACTTTGGTGGTGCAAACTACATGTATATGTACATCCGTATCGTATACAAGTTTATTTTTTTAAATATATTATCAAAAGATTAAAATTATATACAGATGATGTGATAAATTCATAAGTAGAAGACTAATAACTGCAACATGCACTTACTTCCTCCGTAAGAACCACCAAAGACCACAACTGGGGATGATTCAGAGGACAGATTGTGCTTCAAACTCCTTATCAAAACTGCATAATCAGCCAAAGCTTGCTGTGAATTCAAGTACCCTAATGACTCAGCTGACTTGTATGAGTCCTTTCCAAATGGCATTGATTCCCCATAAAATCTATGCTGCAAAATCCAAAACAACCCACAAAATGATTCTGCTTTAAAAGAACAACCAAATTGTGTTTCATAATTGCTTCTTATACAAGAGGTTTTGGGATCGAATATTGCGCAGAGCAAGACTTACCTCGATGAAAACGAGGAGAGCCTTAAACTTGGGAGCAATATCAAGCAAGAAGCCAGTGTTGGCTGCAAACCATTCAATATGACCTTCATTACCAGTGTACACAAAGATGGGACCTCCTTTGTGCCAGTAATGGCTGTTGATGAGGTACTTCTGGTAGAATATTTTCGAGCTCTTTGGATGAAAAGTGAAATGGTCTAACACTTGAGGGAAGTAATGAGCAGTATATGGAATCTTTGGCTTTGGAGCCTTTGCTTGTTTGAATGAAGACTTGTAAAAAGAAGCTCCAGGAAGCTGAAATGTTGGCTTGGACTCTATTAATGTTGCTAGTATAGCAAGAATGGCGAAGAGTAAAAGAAGATGGAGAGATAATGAAGAAGAAGAAGCCATTAGATTCAAGCAAATGAGCTAAAGAATAGTTTCTAGTTGCTCAATTGCCTTCATTTTATCTGAGCTATATATATTCGAGAAATGTTAAAAACACATTCTTTTTTATCATGCAATAATCTGAGAACATTGATTGTATGAAAGAAAGATGGGTAACAGTGCTAGATGCCAAATTGCCAGTTGAGTGTAACAGTAGGTGATAATGGCAGAATTGTTAAAATTTTACATGTATTCTGATTCCTCTAATAATTGTATTCTTGATTTCTTTCCATCTATGAATTGAAACTCCGGTGACAAAGTCTTAGTTTTGAACTTCTATATAATAAGACATGACAAGGTTTTAGTGTTTACCTTTTATGTCTTCCACTAATTAATAACATTACATAATTGATTTCGACATTATCAAAGACAATTGAATGTATATGTTGTTTATACTGTTACATACCTCATTTTGCTTCTTTTTTTTTCTCTCTCTCTCTTCGAAGTAGAATAAGAGATTTAACTGATTAAAACCAAACAAAAATAAAGGTTTGGCTTATGAAACATATATTATTTGCAAGTCAAACTGCTCTTATATTATAAACGAGAAATGTTATATATACAAACTATTGATATAAATTATTCCCTACAAACTGTATGACAACCCTGCATGTTTGACATGCAATCCTCTTTCATCTGTTTAATTTATTCTTAAGTAAAAATCATCCAATTATCTTAAAATACGCTCAGTTTGAGTTTGCGTTATCTATCCAAAACTTTTTTCCCTTTTGATAAAGTGATTGGCGTGATTGAAGTGGTCCTAGTGCTAAAGTGTAGGACCACGAAACTAGATTGCTCATTGTTGTTGTTGGGTTATGTGCATTATGGAAGTAAATTATTGAGGCATTATTGAGATAATGAATACAAAAGAATAAAGTTGAAGATATTAATTGGATGGTTCACAATATTAGGTTAATGTTATCTCTCATATATTCAAATTAGAATTGTAAAACATGTTATTTTCAATGGGATAACCTTACCTCTCATATAAATCTATGACTTGTATGAGTTTAAGAATTTGATATAGAAGGAAAAGTTTATACTCGGTTAAGTGAATCTTAAAAATTTTGGGTGCGATTATTTCCATGTTTTTACACTATCATATTCCCATTTTTTTCAAAATACACATTTGTTTTCCTATTCTGAAAATCCTATTTTATTTTATTTAATTATTTTTAAACCCTCTAGATTTGTTAATTTAACTAAACAAAAAAAAAAAAAAAAAGTTTAGAAATTAACAAAAACACCCCCACCTACCCACGTTTGCCTGATTCCGGATCTGGTCGGTAGTACGCCGATCTAGCGTTTTCCTTACCTCTCATATAAATCTATGATTTGTATGAGTTTAAGAATTTGATATAGAAGGAAAAGTTAATATTAAGTTAAGTGAATCTTAAAAATTTTGATGTTTAGTTAATTCATTGAATGATATTAATAAGGTTTTAATTGAGAAAGAACTTTAATGGAAATAATAAATATTTCTGTGTGAATTAACAATAAAGCTATAGACACCGAAAAACTTGCAACGAAATTTTGTACCGGCCTACGTGTAACATGCCTCTAATTTTTTTAACAATTTTTTTTTCTAGTGAATGGCCGTCCATCAAATTTGGACGGTCGTTCGCTCACATAGACGCCCGTCCATATTATATGAACGGGGGTCAATATAACCAGGGACGGGCGTCCCCATTTAATGGACACCCGTCTATAAGTAAAATGGAATAAATTTTTTTTATAAAAATTAGGGATGGCCGTTCATTCATTATGGACGGTCGTCCCTTCATTTTGGATGCACGTCCGCAAATAAGGGACGCCTGTCTTTAATCAAAATATGAAAATAAAAAATAAAAAAAAATTTAGGGATGGCCGTCTATAAATTTTAGACGGCCGTCCCTTACGTCTGGACGGGCGTCATACTTAAAAAAAAAAAAGAAGAAGAAGAAGCTATTAATGATCAAAGAAGAAGCTTACTTTGTCCAGCTTCTCAAAGAATCTGCACGTCATGGAACCCATCCCCTGATCTCCTCTCCAGCCACTATTAATTTACTTTTCCAGATAACCATGATCCCTCTTTACACGCTACAAATAAACCATAAAACCAATGCCAATAACCGAACTAAAGCAACATCACATTGGAAGTCTACAATTAACAGAAGTCTACACATTAACAAAAAATAAAATAAAAAGAACATCCAGATAAACAATGATTTCAAACAAAAACTAACTATCAAAACACAATTCTAAACAGAACCCACAAAAAGTAAAGCCATAAATAAGAGATTAAGAAGTGAAACTGACTCCATGGAAGAGGATCGAGAACGGGAGAGTCTAATGGACTTGATCTCATCTTTTGACTAGTCGTTTCTGGGGCCTTCTCTGATGGTTCTCTCACTTCAACTGCGGCAGCTGATAACACAAACAGAGGAATGAATGGGAGAGCTTGGAGGGTCTTAAGCTTCACTGTGAAGTTAAAATGGAACGAATCGTGCATTTTACTAGTTTAGTTTGAGATTTTGGGAGGATTTTTGTGATGAAAATTACGAACATGTGAAAGAGTTGAAGAGTAAATCTGTTGCAACCTAATATTAATTATTTTTATTAATATGCTCTTTCAACTAGCAGGATACTCCAAGGCTATGGGGAGCATTTCTTCAGGTTTTATGTGGCGGAAGTTCTTCTTGCTTTGGAGTATTTGCACATGCTTGGGATTATTTACAGAGACCTTAAGCCAGAGAATGTCTTGTTGAGGGAAGATGGGCATATAATGCTTTCTGATTTTGACCTCTCTCTAAGATGTGCAGTCTCCCCGACTCTGGTGAAGTCCTCAAACTCCACCTTGGAGTCAAAGAATTCAGCATACTGTGTTCAATGCAAGCAGGTTGGGTTCAGAAATGATTTTAAGGGAGGAGAAAATCAATGGAGTTAGAGAAGAAGAAGATGGTGGTGAGTTTGACCCTGCTGCGCCTCCTTCTTTTAAATTATCTGATATTAGAGCGGCTATTCCTAAGCATTGTTGGGTTAAGAATCCTTGGAGATCAATGAGCTATGTTGTGAGAGATGTTGTTGTGGTTTTTGGCTTGGCGAAGAAGAAGAGCGAAGAAGGTGTTTTTTTTTTTTTTAAAGTATGGACGCTAGTCCAAACTTAAGGGACGGAACTGTCCAAAATTTATGGACGGCCGTCCCCAAATTTTTTTTTTTATTTTTTTTATTTTCATATTTTGGTTAAGGACGGGCGTCCCTTATTTGCGGACGTCCGTCCAAAATGAAGGGACGGTCGTCCATAACGTCCCTAATTTTTTTTAAAAAAAAATTTATTCTATTTTACTTATGGACGGGCGTCCATTAAATGGGGATGCCCGTCCCTGGTATATGGACTCCTGTCCATATAATATGGATGGGCGTCCATGTGAGTGAACGGTCGTCGAAATTTGATGGACGGCCGTTCACTAGAAAAAAATTGTTAAAAAAATCAGAGGAATGTTACATGTAGGTCGTTACACAATTTCGGTGTAAGTTTTTCGATGTCTGTAGTTTTATTGGTGAATTAAATGGGAGGCCTTCGATTCAAGGAAAGGTTAAGACAATTACCTTATATGAATTTAACATTTAATAGTATGCATTTGACAAGACATGATATACATGATATGGAAATACTTTATTAGGTAAAAACTTTAAGTAAAACTTGTAAGCGTTATAATTTTAGTGGTGTGATTGTAATAAAATAAATTAAGAAAAACTGAAAGTACGAGAGTAGAATAAAGAGGGTTGAAATGAGAAGCTTTTTATTAACTCTTCTCTAAATTGCGTTGTCTAAAATAAATACAATTGGCTCAATTTATAGTCTTTCCTCACCAACCCACATCTTAGAAAGACCAATTATCCAATGACAAATCATGATCATATGTCTTCATGTAGACTTGCACGGGTCATATGTCTTTAAGTGGACTTACATAGACCATGTGTGAAATTGGTGGAAGTCCATCACTTACAACAGTAAGAACATTTGTTCAATTAATGCATACCACATCAATATAACAGTAAAATGTGTGTGTATATATATATATATATATATATATTCGTCATATTCATATCAATATAATATAATTGAATAAGTATATAGTATAATAAGAATTTAAGATTAAAAGCAATATATTAACAAGGCAACAAGAAATATACCTTCCATGACAAGTAGTGACACATATCAAGGCATTAATGTGATAATAAATATTTGACATNTCGTCCTTTTAAATTATCTGATATTAGAGCGGCTATTCCTAAGCATTGTTGGGTTAAGAATCCATGGAGATCAATGAGCTATGTTATGAGAGATGTTGCTGTGGTTTTTGGCTTGGCGAAGAAGAAGAAGAAGAGCGAAGAAGGTGTTTTTTTTTTTTTTTTTTTGAAGTATGGACGGGTGTCTATTCCTAATGGACGCTAGTCCAAACTTAAGGGACGGTCGTCCCCAAATTTTTTATTTTCATATTTTGGTTAAGGACGGACGTCCCTCCAAAATGAAGGGATGGCCGTCCATAACATCCCTAATTTTTATAAAAAAAAATTATTCTATTTTATTTATGGACGGGCGTCCATTAAATGGGGATGCCCGTCCCTGGTATATAGACCCCCATCCATATAATATGGACGGGCGTCCATGTGAGTGAACGGTCGTCCAAATTTGATGAACGGCCGTTCACTAGAAAAAAATTGTTAAAAAAATCGGAGGCGTGTTACACGTAGGTCGGTACACAATTTCGGTGTAAGTTTTTTGATGTCTGTAGCTTTATTGGTGAATTAAATGGGAGGCCTTCGATTCAAGGAAAGGTTAAGACAATTACCTTATATGAATTTAACATTTAATAGCATGCATTTGACAAGACATGATATACATGATATGCAAATACTTTATTAGGTAAAAACTTTAAGTAAAACTTGTAATCGTTATAATTTTAGTGGTGTAATTGTAATAAAATAAACTAAGAAAATCTGAAAGTAAGAGAGCAGAATAAAGAGGGTTGAAATGGGACGCTTTTTATTAACTCTTATCTCTAAATTGCGTTGTCTAAAATAAATAAAATTGGCTCAATTTATAGTCTTTCCTCACCAACCCACATCTTACAAAGACCAATTATCCAATGATAAATCCTGATCATATGTCTTCATGTAGACTTGCATGGGTCATATGTCTTTAAGTGGACTTGCATAGACCATGTGTGAAATTGGTGGAAGTCCATCACTTACAACAGTAAGAACATTTGTTCAATTAATGCAGACCACATCAATATAACAGTAAAATGTGTATATATATATATATATATTCGTCATATTCATATCAATATAATATAATTGAATAAGTATATAGTATAATAAGAATTTAAGATTAAAAGCAATATATTAACAAGGCAACAAGAAATATACCTTCCATAACAAGTAGTGACACATATCAAGGCATTAATGTGATAATAAATATTTGACATTACATTACAAGCCAATGCATTAATTATACTATGTAACATGGCATACTAGAAGAATTATTTATAATTTCATATTCTTTACCAATACCTCATTTCCCAATTAAAAGATTAAATTTAAGGGGATAAATATAGTATCTTAAAAATTTTGGGGGCGATTGTTCCTTGTTTTACACTATCATATTCATTTTTTCCAAAATACTATTTGTTTCCCATTTGAAAATCCTATTTTATTTTATTTATTATTTTTAAACCTTTTGGTAATTTAACTAAGCACCAAAAAAAAAAAAAAAAAAGTTTAGAAATGACAAAAAAACCCCCAACCACCCACATTTGTTGATTCCTAATTTGGCCGATAGTGTACCGATCTAGCATTTTCCTTATCTCCCATAAATCTATGACTTGTATGAGTTTAAGAATTTGATATAGAATGAAAAAGTTTATATTCAGTTAAGTGAATCTTAAAAATTTTAGGTGCGATTGTTTCCTTGTTTTTACACTATCATATTCCCATTTTTTCTAAAATAAAAATTGTTTTCCTATTCTGAAAATCCTATTTTATTTTATTTAATTATTTTTAAATCCCTAGGTTTGTTAATTTAACTAAACACCAAAAAAGAAAAAATTTAGAAATTGAAAAACACCCACGCACCCACATTTGCCTGATTCGATCTGACGGTAGTACCAATCTAGCATTTTCCTACCTCTCATATAAATCTATGACTTGTATGAGTTTAAGAATTTGATATAGAAGGAAAAGTTATATTAAGTTAAGTGAATCTTAAAATTTTTGACGTTTAGTTAATTCAGTGAATGGTATTAATAAGGATTTAATTGAGAAAGAACTAATGGAAATAATAAATATTTCTGTGTGAATTAATGGGAGGCCTTAGATTCAAGGAAAGGTTAAGACAATTACGTTAATGAATAACATTTAATAGTATGCATTTGACAAGACATGATATATATGATATGCAATACTTTATTAGGTAAAACTTTAAGTAAAACTTGTCGGCATTATAATTTTATTGGTGTAATTGTAATAAAATAAACTAGAAAAAAACGAAAGTAACAAAGTAGATAATGAGGGTTGAAATGAGTGCTTTTATTAACTCAAGCTCTAAATTGCGTGGTCTAAAATAAATAAAATTCGCTCATTTTATAGCCTTGCCTCACCAACCCACCTTTTATATAGACTAATTATCTAATAATAAATTCCGATCATATATCTTCATATAGACTTGCATAGACCAGGTGTCAAATTAGTGGAAGTCCACCACTTACAACAGCAAGAACATTTGTTCAATCAATGCAGACCACTAGGGGTGTTCGGTTCCGACTATCCTACATTTTTTAAAGGAACCGAAACTGAAACCAACGATTCCTTGAAATTTTGAACCAGAACTGGAACTTGTAACAGCGGTTCCGATTATGATTCTGGGTACCCTGTAAAATTCATTACCCCTCAAAAGTTTTTAAAATGACAAGAAAAACCCACATAGAACTTGTTAAGAAAAATAAAATTACAAACTTTATTACTTTGTAAAGGTAAATTCTCAAAAGTCAAACCAACTTACTTTAAATATTATGAAATATAAATATAAATGTATTTAGATTACTTTTTCTACAAAAGCTTTTATTAACCCCCTACACTTTAATTTTATTTTATATTACTCTCGGTTTCGGTTCTGGTTCCGGTTTCGGTTCCTAACTATAGGAACTGGAATCGGAACCGCACAATGACGGTTCTAAAAATTTGGAACCGAAACTTACCCGTTAATGGCCGGTTCTGGATAGGAATCGGAACCAAACCCCAAGTACCCACTGGTTTCGGTTCCAATCGGTTTTTTTGAACACTCCTACAGACCACATCAATATAACAGTAAAACTTATATATATATATATATATTCATCCAATTTATGAATATTCATACCAATATAATATAATTGAATAAGTATATAATATAATAAGAATTTAAGATTAAAAGCAATATATTAACAAGGCAACAAGAAATATACCTTCCATAACAAGTAGTGACACATATCAAAGGCATTAATGTGATAATAAATATTTGACATAACATTACAAGCCAATGCATTAATTATTCTATGTAACATGGCATAGTAGAAGAATTATTTGTAATTTCATGTTCTTTACCAATACCTCATTTCCCAATTAAAAGATTAAATTTAAGGGGATAAATTATAGTATTTTAAAACGCATAATCTACACCATAATTGACCAAAATCCCTCCTCTAATCAATGATGATATCATGATAAAAAATATTGTGGAAATCCCTTGTTCGATGCATTCATCAATATCTTGTATGCTAGATATTTAGCTAAAGTTAACTTCTTTGGACTTTTCTTCTCCATCATATTCACATTTTAGATCAGTGTCGACACATTGTTGTGAACAAATTTCTTTCCTTCTTCACCAAGTTTTACCATATTTTTCTCTCAAAATCACTTTCATTACTCACGAGCAAGCAACAAGCCCTTGGTTTGTTTTGGCTCCAACAGGACACAGCCTAGAAACTCCCAAATCCATCTGGCTTTTCCGATCTTTCAACACTTAACACTTCAAAGGCTCTAAGCCCTCCACGTCTTCCAACAGAAATTACAGATTCTCTTTTTAACCGAGCACTTCTCCAATCTTAAACCCCACCTTATCAATAACAAACACTATCGTAATCTATCCTAAACCCACCTCCATTCCTCAAAAAAGTTCCAACCTTTGAGCAAAAGCTTGAATCTTTCATCCCAAAAACATGGCGAAAAAGCAGATGGAAGTGGTGAAGGGCCTTGATTTACAGCGCTACATGGGAAGATGGTATGAGATTGCTTCATTCCCTTCATTTTTTCAGCCCAAGAATGGAGTGGACACAAGAGCTACTTACACTTTGAATGAAGATGGGACTGTGCATGTTTTGAATGAGACATGGTCAGATGGCAAAAGAAGCTCCATAGAAGGCAGTGCCTACAAGGCTAATCCTAATAGTGATGAGGCCAAGCTTAAGGTCAAATTTTATGTGCCTCCATTTTTGCCTATCATCCCTGTTGTCGGAGACTACTGGGTTCTGTTCATTGATGATGAGTATCAGTATGCTTTGATTGGTCAGCCTAGCAGGAAATACCTCTGGGTATGTCTCTTGATCTTTCTCGGTGTTATTGCTTTCCTTTTTCATGTATTTCACTAGTCTTGAAATGGGGTTTTGTTATTTTGCTCAACTATGCTCCTTAGGATGATTTTGTGTAGTGATTTTTTATCTCTAATGTTGAACATGAATTTTGCATCTATCATCGTATACATCTGATGTTGCATGTTACAAGTTCATCGATAAACCCTTAGTATTACTAGTGAGATTGTATGTTGTCTAACTTCCGTTGATCAACTCCAAAATCCCATTTTTAATCGATTCATGGTGTTATGATTGCAGATACTATGCAGGAGGACTCATCTAGATGATGAGATCTACAACCAGCTGGTGGAGAAGGCCAAAAGTGAAGGATATGATGTGAGCAAACTCCACAAGACACCACAGACTGATCCACCACCAGAGGGAGATGCAGGCCCCAAGGACACCAAAGGCATATGGTGGTTTAAATCCCTCTTGGGCAAATGAAGAAAAACACAATAGGCTTTATTTCAAGTCAAAATAAAAGGATCAAAATCCCCTGTTTGCATTAGTAGAAAATGAATGTATCTAAACAAGTAAAATGTATGTTGCTTTTACATTTTGGGTTTCTGGGTTTTGTTTGTAAAAAAGAGTGTGCGCTTTGAATTATGAGAGTTGTCTTGTCATTGTTGTGAATGGTGCTTGCCGCTTGGTAGTAGGTGTCTGTTGATGTGAAATGGTGATGGATAAATTTCAGTAGGTGTGATTATGATGGGGTAGGAATCTTGAGGATCAGAATGGAGAAAAGGGTCCCTCCCCCTTTTGGGAACATTATCTAAGTTGTGTATTATTTTGATGTTTATCCGTTTCTTTGGGGCTAAGCAAAATGGTTCTTGTTCACTTGTGTACGCTGTTCATCTAGGATTCCTTTTATGATTCTGAATCCTATTCAACAATTGATGTGCTGTGAATAAAACAAAAGTAATACCACTCTTAAATAAAATCTAAATTTTTTTATCCTAAATAAATGCTTAGTCTCATGTGACACCGAGATATCATATAATGACGAGATATTATATACTACCTTGTCTCTTTATAATTTTCAAAATAAATGATGCAATCTTTTCTCTTTCAATATTTCTCTAACTCATATATCCTTTATCTACTCTCTCCTCATCTCCTCTCTCTATTTTTTTTCATGGCCCACATCTTCTCTCTCTCTTTCCTTATCTCTTCTCTATTAAATTATTTCAATATTTAAAACATATGTGCAGTGAGAAAAACAAAATTTTCTCATTTGTAATATCAGAGGAAAAAGTTAATTTGAGGAAAGATAAAATTGATTCATTAAAAAATATGTAAAAGTTTAAAACATAATTATATAGAAACAGAGGGAGTGATATGATCATTCTTCATTTACATGTCAAAGCCACATAAATGAACGGACGGAAGATTATAGTGGTAATTGAGCAAGACAAAATAGTTTTAACATATATGTATATATTATATATCGTTATTTCAGTAGACGGTCTCACCAAATTAGATGAAACAGTCCCATGTAAATTTTTATTTTTGCCGAGGTTTGAATATATATATATATATATTTTAGTGATCGAGTATATCTGGTTAGTTTACGCACACTCTAATTAATACTTTAAGACGCTGAAATTGACAGTCGAATAAATCTCTTTAATAACCATTTTTATTAACAATCCAAGTTGAACAAACTCATGATATCTTAACTAATACATTCAAGAATTTTAATTAACCGATAAATCATCTAATAGTAGTTAATATATTTGGAAATGATAAGATTGTTTAGACGTAAGTAATATACCGTTTATTTCTTAAATAAGCAAAAGATTTTGATATTCGTTTAATCATCATGTAAGATGACATTTATTAATTTGTATAAATATTTGGTGTAATGCTTTCATTCAATGTAATTTGGAGTCTTTCCTACTAGAGGCATCTTTCCATTTTCTGATTGAAACCAAAACATTCCCCTATTCACTACAACAGAGCCCAACAACAAACTAATATGAAATACTTTTTAGTTTTTAGTTTTTACAGAAGAGAGATCTCTCATGAAAAATATATACAAAAACTTATAAAATGAAATCTTGCGCACACCAAAATTAGGAATTTTTTTTTTTTTTTTTTTTTTTAATTTGTAATTTTGAAGAAAAAAAATGAAGAATCCATAAATTAGATAGGAAGACATAGTACAAAAAACGTCGACGTATATCGTATGATCAGAACAAGAGAATCACATACACAAGCTACATTTGAGAACGAGAAGTGTATAAGTACTAAAATATAAAAGATTTTTGGCGATAACCTTTGTTTTCTTCTTTTTCTGATCATCAAGAACACAAACACCCAGAAGATGAAAGACCACAAATCTTCCAAGCAAACAATTGATAAATGATATAAACATATATTATAATCACCCTTTTTGTCATCCATCACCTTCAACAAGTATAACAAGTGAATATGGCCCTTACAGGATAAACGTGCCTTGCCTCAATGCCCTTACAGTATGCTACAACATTGATTTGTTTTCTTCGCCTGCTTGTAGAACATCTGTTTCAACAACCATAAAGTTCTAGCATTAGCCACAAGATAAATTCCTTCTCAAAATTACATAAATTACTCCCTGTGTCGACGATCTCCTAATGAGATATTGACATGGATGTCATCAAATAAACTCTCAAAAAATTCAAAAAGCCTTTGAATTATATTGGTCTACCGGAAACTAAGCTACCAAACAACAAAAACCAATGACAAGGAAGACCAGAATAAGCACCATGCAAATCGGGGCCCTAACATGAAAGACTATGCACATATGAACCTACATATATGTTCACTGTTTCAGTAGTTCACTGTTTCAGTAGTTCACTGATAAATGAGTAAAGGCAATATGAAGTTACTGTTGGATTACCTGCGACGCTGCACTAAGATCTGAACTCTTTTCAACTAAACTGTCCAGCTTCTCACCCCGTGCAAGCACACTATCGATAGTTTTATGCTGAAACAGAGAATAAACTGCTTCAAAACTTAAAGAAAGAGAAGCCAATCTGATAAACAGGCGAGTTAACAGATACAAAGCATAAACTTATTAACCCAAAGCCTGACCCTACAAAAATTAAAATAAGAAATTCATGTATAATGTATGTCATGAGAAACTAGAAACTAAAAGCATATAGCATATCTAGTATCCCAAATGTAATTTTATTAAGATTCAGAAACTCCATCACTTGCCTCGTGTATGAAGTATAAGCAAACTATCTACATCATCTTATCTGATACAGCTTCGAGTCGAAGCTGTATCAGGAGGGCAAGACTTTTGCTCAGTTGGAGCACTTCAATAACTAGGTGCACTTAAAAAAGATAAAAAATGTCAACAAAAATGATTATAAACCCAGCCTACTTTTCAGACGAGCAAAGTTACAGGTTAATTAAAGACCCAATTTCTGATGTAGCTCATACGGAAACATTAGAATAGGAAATACCTATCAAATGGAATGCAAATTGAAGGTTGTGTAGCAACATTCGAATCATGAGGAACGAAGGCATATTCAAAGGAAACTTCGATCTTTAATTACACAAATGAAATACTTCTAGAACACCGGTAAAACATAAAATTACTTAAGAGGCAATACATAAACCAGTGCAGCAATAGCACAACACTCACAAGATAATCTGGTTTCATCCAATTCCCTTTGAATTTCAACACCTTATCAGCCTCTGCAGGGTCCTGAAATGTGGTAATCAGAGTCAATGTAAGCACAGGATATGAGATCTAAATCATAAATTCCAACTATGGTCAAGAGTGACAAAGAAATCAGAAATACCTGAAATTTGGTCAAAGCTTCATTCAATAGGGCCATGGTTGAGAGCTGTCGGCCTGTACAGTCTTCCATGATCACCAAAATTTTTCTGATACTCTTCTACCACCTGCCAGACACCTTCAATTTATCAACAACCAAGAAAACCAAGATGACATCAATATCCCCAAATGGTTTCATCACCACAAAAGATATCACAAAATCTAACATGAAACATATCTCAACTCATATAAATTACATTCACCAAGCAACTTTCTCATTCTCGCACTTCAAACTCTAAGTGAGATAGTTTCACCACGTTAGCTCACTGAACATGCAAGATATTAAGATCTAAACGTGAAACACAATAGTGAGAACTCTCCAATCAACAAATAAAATAGATAAATAATAACCCCATAACAAAATATTCCAACTATTTTTTTTTTCCTTTGTTACTTATCAACAACTTCGATAGTTTCATTTCCTTACGTCTTATAACATATATAAATTATAATACCACAAGTTTTATCACATAATAAATGAAGATAAATGATTTTAGAAACAGTAAAACATATGGAGAGCATCTTATATATCAGAAAGTTTGCAGAAAGCACTTTTAGAGAAAACACTCAAAAGAATCATTCACCATAAAACCCAAACAATATTAAAATTGATACAGGTTCATATACTATACCTGATTCGAACTGAAATGCACTCCGAACTGGATAGTGATCATCCATAAATCCTACCGCGCATAGCCCATTTTTATTATAACATGCACCTTGTACTCTACACAATCAATCAACATCCAGCAATTAACCCAAAAAGCCAACACAACAGTAAATTTATTCTTTACTTCTTCTCAAACTATCAGCTTGCACAGATACACAGATTCAACATAATTGACAATCATAAACAAGCTCAAAATGATAAAAATAGAAAAGGGAAAATGCTAACATGTTCCAAATACAAACAGAACAAATTTTCTTGTTTCAATGCATCATAAACCATAATTCAATAATCATAAGGAATTAAAGATAACTGAGAAATCATAAATCCTGAAAATTTTGAGCTGACAAAAATTACAAATTTGTTATTCAAAAACAAAGAATACCGTTACGCAAAGAAACAATAATATGTTGTTTCACAAAATATTGAGATAGTTAAGAAATCTTTAACCTAAACCAGGGCTCAAAACAATTACAAAATTTACTTGTACAAAAACAAAGAAAAATGTTAAACTCATTTGCAACTCCATCAAATAAAAAATTTTACTCTTAAATGCAATTCAAAACGCTAATCTTAAGGATAAAAAATTCACTTGTTTCAGTATATCTTAAAGTGTGTAATTCAATACAATAGGTCATAAAAGAATTCCCTAAAATGGCGTTCAATTACAGAGCCTAATTCTAAAGGATCAAAATTATACTTGCTTCAATAAGTGTGTAATTCAAACATAGATCAAAAAAGAATCCCAGATAGCTTTAAACTTACAAAAATTACATATTAACTTATTCTAAAATGGCGTCCAATTGCAGAAAAATATAACTCAATAAAGCGTAATTCAAGAAATCAAACTATATTTTTTGTCTTATTATGCACACGAATAGAACATCTAAAAAACAAACTCAAATGACGCGATTCGAGCTGAACGCCAATCGACAGAAAGCGATGCATATCAATTAAAACAGAAAAAGATGAAATCGGACCTTCGTGTTGAACCGACTGACGTTGCGACGGCGGAGTGCGTTTGGCGACGGTGCGACCGCCGAAGAGGATGAACTCCTTGACGCTGGAGCGTTGAAAGTAGCCGAAATGGCTGACGTCAGATGCGGTCACTAGAATACCGGATCGGCCCCTCAGGACGCATTTCACACCAGCACGCCGTGATCTTCATTTCTCTCTCTCTCCGTGGCGAATTTTACAGTTTCGTACGGTGCCTTCGCTTGAATTTGTGCTTGTTTTTTGATTTGATTAATTGGATTCGAGAGAAGTAACGGCAGAAAGCAGATTCGTTTTATTTGGAGAGAAGGATTCGGTGTTGTTGAGTATAGAGTAAACTTTTTGCAA